AAACACACTAAAACATTGTCATTAAATTCAAGTAATTCCTCCTCAACTTCACTGAAACAACAGAACAAGTTCTTTTGTAATTTTCACTTCACAATTCTACTTTAAAGGCCCCAGTGCTTTTGGTCAGGAGTGCAACAAATATGTTAGAATTATAAATCATCCACTAAGAATAAAAATAAATAGAAAATGATGAGTAGAATTTTTCTGGTGGGTTACTGTGTTTGTCCTCTAATGGAAAATATGCTTTAAAATATATTTTATCTTCTAAATATACATTTAAGCTAGTTTTTTGGGCATAAAATAGGGTATAATTCCAGATAAAATGCGAATTTTAAATACTTTCATCTGTTTTAATTATGAAGTATTGGACTATAAGTATTGCACAATTTCATTACCACTTGATGTTGCCAACACTTTATGAATTTTTGTGTTCTATGGTTTTAAGTTTAAACTTTACTGCAGTCAGGAGTGCAACAAAACTGTTTCATAATTACCGATGCTTTTTAACTAGCTTTACTAAAAAATAAGTTGAAAAAAAAAATGCTTGATACTATTTATGTTCAAAACACTATGTCTATCAACAAATTACAGAAATTTTACAGTCAATTCAGGGAATAGTTTTCATCATTTCACATATATTTTAAATAAAATTTATATATATTACACTTTGCAAATAATCATGTTTTAAGGTCTTCAAAATATGAAAAACCTGTCGTAAACGATGAAAAATATCAACACGACAAATTGATTTACAAAGTAAAAGTGGGTTATTGTGTGTTATAATTTTTAAAACAACGTTAAATAAAATACATATCAGATGTCAGGAGTGCAACACAATAATGTAACATAGGGTCACTCCAAAATCTAGTATTTTTTGTAAGAGAACTCGTATATAACAATTCTTTTTTGGCTTAGATTTAAAGAATTGACTTGAACGGACAAAAAAGTGAATTTTGTGGAATTTTACTGCTTCATATTTTTTTCATAATAAAACTTTTCAAACCAGAATTGAAAAAATAATGTAAAATAACAATCAAAAAGCCAATTTTTTGTCACATGTACAAGAGAAGATACTCATTCAAGGTCTAGATTTAATCATTTATACCCCTTTTACCATTTTGAAGCATAAAAAACTATAATTTCTTGTGATTATGTATTTTCGAAAGTCTTTTAAGGTGTAATGATATTTTCTTTTTTCAAAAGAAATTTTACTCATAAAAATTCTGAAACTTTTTAATCCAATTGTCTATTCTATTGCCACTTCAGGATTTTAAACTAGAATGCATTTGCAATATGATGATATAAGTGAAAAATATGTTATAAATAGTTGAATTTTGCCAAAAAAAATCAGTTTGGTGGTCATTTTTTTTTAATCCACCCACTGTATGTATTATTATAATACACAATGTATATATAAATACAGGGTAAGACATAAGGAACTTCCGTATTTAGGTCTTAAGAGCTTACTGAAAATTTAGTACAAGTATTGAGTATAAGTACTTCAAGGAAAAGGAAACTTCAAATACTCACTAGATATAAATCAAAAACAATTCTTATGGTTTTTAGAAGAACAGAGAGGCAACATTTTGTCAAATAAACACACAACCAATTTGTGTATGTCCCACTTGGTTTACACATCATAGAATTGGTTTGGGTTAGGATTTTCATTAGCTAATCTGAAATAAATTTTGTGGAAAAGGCATTTCTGGTTAAGGTGTCAAAAGAATAGCTTATGCTGCAAATCCTCTGGGATTTATTTGATTATGAGGTCAAAAAGCTGAAATTAATTTTTAAATCACCAGAGGCAGTCACCTGTTGCTGTCCTACATCAAATATTGTTCAGAAATTTTGGAATGTTTTTAGCTTCTTTTTCAAATACTTTGACCATTTTAATATTATAAATGAAGGAGAACATCATTTTCATGTCCCCATTCCCCCTGGGCTTGAGGGGTTGGACAGGAAGAATAAAAATTAATGCTGTCTTAAGAATCATATTTATGATACTTTTTGCATGATTATTTTAAATGAACTGTTTTCTCTCAACCAAAATTACAAAGTTCTTGTGTCCTATATGGTAAACATCAGGGAATTCAGTATATAAATCAGGAAATTCACCCTGAGTTCAAGGTACAGACTCCATGTTAGAGCGAAGTCCATTAGGACTTTGAAAATCTGCACTCCTGGATATTGAAGAAGCAATATATATGTGTTATTATTATGAGCTCTGCACCTCACAGCAATTTGTGAATCTTGTGTCTCCAAAGGTTCAAACCCCAGATTAAGACTAAGTTTATTATTCTAGATTTTAAAAAAACCTTTTTTTACTCTTAAGCATTTATGAGACAAAGGGAGGTCAACATTACTGCTACATTTCTTCGAAATTTTGGATGATCATTACCACTACATTTTATCAATAAGACTAATGCCGATTACAACTCATTACCGAAACATATCAAATCAGCCAGCAATGGCACGGAATACTAGTATGTTCTGTTCATAAAAATTCATATAAGAGATTTCCAGACAGCAGTATGTCAAGAAAATAACCTTCAAAGGGTCTACCAATTGTGTAAAGACTATGAGTTTTATCCATAAACAATGCTTGGTTTTAACACTTCTAAAATGTTTTATTAAATAAAAGAGATTTTAAATAAAAATTGGAAAAAAAACCAAAAACATTCTGATCAGTCTTATTTTCACTTCCCCGTGGTGAGCAGGGGAAACAGGTTTTATGCATGTACACGTATTTGTTGTACTTTTAATCAATCTTGTACATGCATAATCCGCTGGCCAGCGAAAAAGGCAATGTAGCGGTAATGTATATTTTTAAATGTAGCGGTATTTTCACCTTTTTTGTAGTGGTTAAATGAGTATGTAGTGGTAATGAAAATTTAGCGCTAATGATACGCACCCGAGAAAAACTCCATGTAGTGTGCTATTTAACAAAGAACTATACCATATTGTAAACTAAAATTAATCTCACATTGATCCAGAGTTCAAGAATATGGATTGTCAGTTGGATAGAGTGTGAGGAACTTGTAATACTCTGGTTACCTTCATGGCCTATCGGCCTTTTGTTTGCATGCAATAAAATGATTAAGATTTTTTTTTTTTACATCAGAAGTATTTTGGCTGCAGTGTTTGTATACACATTGCATAAAACAAAAGAATCCATTTTGGACAGATTCTCAAATAATTCAACTCATCTGAAAAATGATTTAATTGAATTAAGCTGGCTTGGGCACTTGCAAAATATGAAACTTCTTAAGCTTCTTAATACATGTATATCCCTTTTCTGAACATTGTTTTAAAATATGTTTTCTTCTGGAATTTTCCTGGTTTGTCTTTCCTGTTCCACCTCCAATTCAGTTTTGTTCATGAAATAAGGCCGTTCCAATTTTTTCTCTGTTTAGCGTCCACCCTTCTTTAAAAAACCTACTTTACCTATTTGCAAAAAACACAAAAACAAAAAATGGAACACAGAATTTATAATCATAAAAATAATTTCATTCAAAGGATTTGATCTGATTAGATCTACCGTATGTATGGCGTATCTGAGCTTGAAAAATAATAATAAGAGATTGAGTGTAAATATACATGATATACGTTATTTATGTTCAAATTAAAATTTCCACCGATTTTGAGCTTGAATTACCTCACGATTCTATAGTAAAATGACTTTAAATTTGTCTGTTAAAGGTGGAGTCAGTAAATAAATCAGTTAATTGTTTTTAATTTTTTAATATCTTTGAAACATGATTGATTTAAATTGTGTAATTTACAGGAAAGTCCTTTTTTTTTAATAAAATAAAAAATAAATAGAAAGATTTTTTTTTAATTTTAATTGGTTACCTGAATTTATCAAAAAATATGCCATATATGACTTAAATCTATTTTTGTTGTAGAAAGATCTATTCTTTAGTAAAATGAATGTATGAAATGCTTCAAATATACCAGTAACCTAATATGACATATTGTAGACAAACATGTAGACAAATAATGACAGAATTCAAAGATTTCGACCAGAATAATCAATTTCAGGACCCTGATTTTGTTTGTTTTTCTGCTATGGGGTGTCAAAAATCAAGGCGCACATGGACGCTAAACATAGAGAAAAATTGGAATGGCCTAAATGTCTTTTCTCTATTATAACTTCCTGTTGATGAGGAATTAGTGTATCTAGAATTTTCTAGTTCCCTTATTCACCAAATTGTGTAGTGTGTGCAGGGCTCTCACAAAATGTATAAAAGCTAGCTTCATTTCCTGTTAAAATTGAACATTGTTCAGCAAATTACTAAATAATATATTTAATTGAACAAGTCTGAAAACTAAAAATTTGTACATAAAGAGAAGTACCAGAGGACAAACAGCAGAATTATCTTACAAAAACAAATCAGTATTGAATGTAATTGTTAGAGGTGTGTTTAAATTACTTAATCTAAGTGTCCAGATATTAAAGGCTGTGACTTGGACCCTTTATTATCATGACCGTACTGCTTTAGACAAGGCTTGTTTAATCATTCAGGATTTACGACATGCCCATCTACAGATGACACAGAACTGAGAAAGCTAATCTAGATAATTACCATGTACCCTTTGTTGACACACCAAGACATTTCAGGACCTCAGTTTCCTGTTTATCATATTAACTCATGAAGTGTAATGCCCTTATTTTTACATAGGGAGAATGAGCATTACATAAACTGACAGTCTTCAATCCAACTAGTTAATATTTCATATTTAGGCCCCCCTATGTAATTGTTTTAGAAACTCCACAAAAACTAATTTAAAATTGCATCAATAATTTTTTTAAAAATTGTCTAATCATGAAAGACAAAAACTGATTCAGCACTTTTACCCAGTACAAAACAGCTTTATTAGTCCTTGTAAAACAGCTGACTTAGCATTTTTGTCATCGTAAAATTGGTAGTGACATGCTTTCCACCGACATTGCAAGTGTATTGTTTGTCTTTTTCAATGTTTGTCTTTTACTTTTTCAGACTTATTTGAAAGAAATTTTAAAGGAGATTTGTACCTACAACATGAAGGCACCCCATCGTAACATGTGGGAGTTAAAGCCTGAGTACCGCCATTATAAAGAACAGCATTCATCAGGATGACCTTCAACTGTGACCTCTAGGTCAAGCTATCTTGACTGGTTCTTGTAGTTTGATCAGTGAATCCAACAATGTTCAACAAAATTTGTACATTCATCTTTAACTGACTTTAAATTCAATAGTGTCAAACATTGAATGGACAAGTTGAAAACTGAGGGAGACATTGTTCATCCTCTTAAAGTCAATAAATATATGTACATATCGTTTTTTTTTTCCCCTTCTGGTACATGTATTTTATATCAATATCTCTGTAGACATTAGTCTGATTTATAAACAACTTAAATTCTGGGGCCTATTAAGGCTGTGCAGCATTTCAGAAGAAAATTTAATTGTCAAGACCAGCAGCACTGCCATCAGCTTTATACACCCCCCTCCTCTAGAAGGTAGTTTTCCTGTGACTAGGTAACCGTGGTGAGGTATAACCTTCAAAATGGGTAAGTGGTGCCAGTACCACAACATATACTCTGTCACTGCACTTAAAATGGAGAAGTGGTGCCAGTACCACATCATATACTCTGTCACTGCACTTAAAATGGAGAAGTGGTGCCAGTACCACATCATATACTCTGTCACTGCAGTTTTGAGTGCACAAAAAATCTCAGAACTTCCTAATATTATCAAAGTTCCTTGACAGAATATGAGTAAAGATCCAAAATTTAATTACCTGGTATATTAATATTCAGAACAACTGAAAATGGATCACTTTTTAGAAAAAAGGCACCATTCATACCTTCCCTGTTGTATTTATAAGTATCATTTTTACCAATGTACTTTGAGGTAACAGCTGGAATATGGCGTAGTACAAAGTGCACATTTGACAGGGATCAGCATCACTGATGATTCTGTGCCAAGTACGAAATTTTCTCCAATTACCAGGAAAAACAACACTGAATAAAGCATCCATAACTGTCACCCAAGACACTGATGTTAGGAAGTTGGTAATCAGATTCCTTCTGAATGGTGCATTGTATATTCTACTGTATATATTTTGTTTATGTCAACAACAACAAATCCTTTACCTTACAAGAAACAATGACCATGGCTCAGTGATGTATAATTTTCTCAACATGAAAAAAAAATTATTACAAAGATAGGATAATTTATTGTCCAAAAGAATAACAAAAGAAGTTAAATGTCTGTTCTACTGAAATTGAACAATCTCTTAACGGTCTATGTGCAAATCATTGGTTTATTTCAGAATATACATGTACACTTAAACGTGTTGATAGCAAGTTATAAAGATCTCAATTCCATTGCATCCTTGTCAAACTGGAATGGGACTCTGGAATGATGTTAAATGATCTTAATATGTAAACATTAAATGCATTACTTCCTTTACAAATGGTTACTTTTGGTATATGACTAGGCAAAACATCACTGCTGGAAACAAAAATGCAATATAACAAACATGTAAAATTTAAAAAAAAAAAAAAAAAAAACTGACAAAAAAATTAGTTTCCTGAATTTAAATATATAATTTTTTTCTACAATTTATCTACAACTACTTTACCTTGAAATGAAACACAAATTCTACTCAAAAGAAACAAAATTACAGAAACAAAACCCCCTGAATGTCAATTGCACTGAAAACTGAAACAAACAATATTTTTCCCTTCGCTGTAAAGGATTTCTGGAAGCTTATAATTTCCCTGCAGAAAACATTTCCTTCTGGCAAGACAGAGACTAGATGGTGAACAGTTGATATCCTACAAGTCCACTGAAATGTCAGTATAGAATAGAAAACAGCATGAACAGTATTGGTGTTAGAAATGTCTCAGTACTCCTCTCTAGTTTTGGCCAAGGGCTTCAGCAAGTTTGCCTTTTGTATGCTCCACTTGCTTTTTATTGTTTCCTGGCTGTATAGATGCATCGTTGTAAAAGCCCACAAGTGTGACTGAAATGACAAGAAAAGAACACCGTTAAACTCTGTATGCCTAGAATATGACTAATAGACCCCTTCACGATAACTGCGGTACTACTCTTTTGCAGGGCAAAATGATATATTTTGGTGAAATATGACGTAAAAGCAATTGTTTAATATAAGTCATTTAATTATCTATCAACAAAAACTTCACCAAACGTTATTAATTTGCCCTGCAAAAGAGTAGTACCGCAGTTACCGTGAAAGGGCTAATAATGTCAGTCTTCGCCAAATCTTTTTTTCAGTACATGCCCTTTGGGCAGGTTTAACCACTTATTATGCTAGCCGGAACAAATATTTACATGCCCAGAATTTTATCAAGTAATTTTATTCTTATTTGCCTTTTCATGCCAAGGAAATGATCCGAAATTCATTTTTATCGATCTATTGTCTCGCCATTAATATTGTTTTCAACCTGTACACTTTTTGTGTCTCCTTTGCAAAAGAGTTCCTTGGAAGTCACATATTATTTTCAACGTGTATACTTTTTGTGTCTCCTTTGCAAAAGAGTTCCTTGGAAATCGCGGTAGAATAAACTATCGTTAAAATTTTATTTGGTGCTCAACTTTAGATGAAAAATCAGACTTTTAAGTACATTTTATGTTATTAGTATTATTTAATTTGATAATACGGAGGCTTAGGCCTCAGAATTTACATGCCCTTCGGGCTTGTAAGTATGCAATTTCCACATGCCCCCTTCCAATTTAACCAAGTCCCAGGCTTCGGACTCCCGGGATTTGTTGAAGACTGTAATGTGTCCAATACTTTTTTATAGTTCAGTTAGTATATCCCACCTTTAACCCCACTACAAAAAATGTTACCATTAATGTATGTGCACTGCAACACTCATCACTATACAATAAGCAGTGCATTAATTTTGAATTTCTAAAATCAAATCAAGTACTATTTATAAATATACTTAAAAAAACTTCTCACATTAAGAGTACAGTGGCATCAGTACATAGTTTTACACCCCTCCCTCTCCAAAGATATAAATGAATTGTGACAAGTCAGTCCTATTAATTAAGTCATCTGATTTTTTTTGAATGGTATCTTAATTTTTTTAAACTTTAAATTTCTTACACTATTCAAGTGTGTATATGCCAGTCATCAACTGGCAAGGTATTAATAGCGAGCGGCGCAAAGGCTCGTCACTGCGAGCTCTTAAAGCAACGCCTGGGCGAAGAGAAAATTCGGACTTTGCACATTGATCAAAGTGAATTTTTTTTCCGCAGTTACCTGTGGTCCCATAATGCTTAGCGAATTGCATCTCGCCACAAACCACATTCTCGCAGTAGCAATAAAAATTCAACAAAATATAAAATCACCTTGATTTAATGGATATATAGCAGACAGATAGTAGATTAAACGTTTTTGATTAAAAATAGCACTGTTCAGACTTCGTTTTTGGTAATATAACATACATAGGACATCATATGACGTCAGAGTCTAGACGTAGCAAATGTCACATGCAGTTTGACAAGCCCGATCTAAATTAAAACTGAAAGGTATCTACGCTCACCCTAACGGTCACACCGTCAACATATTATTATTGAATTTGTTTCACTGAAAGAACATTGCCAATACACATTTTCCATACATATTTTAATGATCTCAGTTTTCATTTTGAATGTAAATTAATAAATGATATTTATCTAGTCATTGTTGAACAAAATTCATTACGATTTTCTTATTATGCATTTTCTTGCAACAGTATCTTGGCCTTTTCACAATGTAACAAACACTCTTCCACAAATTGCTAAAGGGTGTTTATTGTTATAGTTTATTTAAATGACTCGATACATTACTGAAATTACTTCCTCATAATGGGCTAAACAATGGATGCCTTTACAAGGAAAATGGAGTAATAAAACAAAGTATTTCTCTCTTGCATGAAAGAGGAAAACAGACTTACAAGTTTGACCCCTTGCTGCACAAAAGCCTGCTGTGCCAGCTTTCCCTTCTATAGTTTTTGCCTCTTTGTCTGCATTAATAATGATATATTTTTTGCCGTTTAAAGTTGCACTTGTGACACCAGATTCCATCCCTGAATTAAATAACTTATTCAGGTCTACAAAGTCGGATGTTGTTAACTGAAAAAAGCGAGAGAAAAATAGGTCATTGACATTGTATAAAATAGAACTTTAATCAGTTACAACCATCCTTAAGAATCCGCCACTTTCTGAGACGTTAATATCATTAAAATGTTGTTCAGCATTTATAAAATCTTTCACTGCATTTAATCTGAACAGATAAGTACAAAATCAATTTCATCATTAAAATTTAAACCAAAGGACACTTCAAGTGGTCATAACCCGCTAAAAATTTGCCGGCGGCTGACCATTTGGGGGCGTCTTCAACACGTTGACTTACATTACAGCAGTGTGTCTTTGCCCAGACGTTGCCTTGAGTATCATAAATTCCACATTCGTGAGAAGTAGTATATTTTCCATCATTCTGCATGAGAGACAGCCACGTTTCCCAACTCATTTTGAGAAGAAAGATTCCAACCGTTCTCGACAACCGTCAACCAGGAAAACGAGATACAGTCTGAGAGGCACTGTATATATTAATGCGCAGACAGGAAGTTACAAGACGATGATTACTTCCTTTTTAAAAGTAGAGTCTATTAATTTAAAAAGTATTTGAAAAAAATATCAAAAATTCTAAGTGGCTTCAATGAAATAAACACAATTGCTTAAAAGTACGTTTTATGTTGCACTATTTTTTCTGGGTACTCACAACGCACTTAGGCTATGGAACAATAGAAGGGTCATTATACATGTATATTTTGTGGTAAGGAGACGGAATCGCGTTACAAATCAATATATTTTCATTTGCAAAAGTTAACACTATTTGAACAAAGCGTATAAACAGGTTCGTCATATGACCATGAATTAATTGTTTAGTCATAAACGATTGGCGTAATTTTATAGTGACGTCATAATTACTAAATTACATGTAGTAGGCGTGATGAAAACTTTCAATTTATAAATCAGTGCCCCCTTTCACGAAAAATCTTACGATTAAGACAAAAAAATTCCCGTTCCTCAAGAGGTATCTAAGTTGTAGTATGACACAAGAAATCTAAAATCTTATATGTCTATTATATTTAATTACATTATTAAAAAAAATTAAGAAAAAAATGTAATAGTGATAGTTTTATGTTGTTTTAATTATTATGATATTCATATGTATAATTTATTAATTATACATTTATGAATATGCCACAACTGATTTTAAACTTTGAAGAGCATGTATTAATCTGTGTGTCAATCATTATTGACAAAGACAAATAATTTAAAATCAAATATTAATAATATTCAATAAAATAATTTATCAAATAAAATAATTAAATAAATTAAATAAAACAAATAATTGAAATAATATAAACAATTAGCTAAAATATGGTGGCATATTTCTGCCCATTGTGTGCAAGTTATTTTTCTATCAAATATGTCGACATGCAAGATAAATATGTTGACATGCAAGATAGTTATGTGAACATGCAAGATAACTATGTTAACATGCAAGAAAATTGCAATCAAATAAAAATTATAAAAAATCTTCAAAAATCTCAAATATCGCGTACATGTGACATCCAATATCGCCTACATGTGACATCCAACATGCTAGATGCTACTTATTTGTGTTAACATGCGAGATAAATATGTTGATATGCAACTTATTTATGTCGACATGCAACTTGGTTATGTTGACATGCGAGATAAATATGTTGACATGCAACATATTTTTGTCGACATGCAACTTATTTATGTTTACATGCATTTTTCAGATACAGTTCTGCTATGACCTTAACCTTTGACCTCGGACGAACAGATGGACGGACGGACACTTTAAATACTATAGGTAGCCCGCAGAGAGGGGCCCTAAAACGTTTTATAATCTACGGTCACGTTTCTGAATCGCCAGGACATTTTATCTAAGGAAATCCAATTTATACTTTGTTGTCCACCTCATATTATAGAAAATAATTTAAACTGCAACATTTGCTTAAATAAATTTTCGATCATTAAAATCAACTTCAATTTTACCGACAGAAAAAAAAACAGAACCGTGCCTCATTGCACATGTCTTGGGTAGTAACGAATCTGCACGCTCGCACAAATGTTCAAATTGTGTATCACATAATTTCTTTTTCATTTAAATTTAATCATATAATTCAAAATCTTATCATTTTGAAAATCGATCATATTTAAAAAAAAAAAAAGTATATATCCAAAATGAAATCACAAATCGATCGTATTCACTGTAAACTTTTTCGCAATTCCTAGGTCTTCAAACATTTACATTTACATCGATCTGTGATTTCATTTTTGGATATTTACTTTATTAAAATTATATATATATATCCGCTATTCAACAAAACTAAGTTGCATGTCGACATAAACAAATTGCATGTTGACATAACTAAGTTGCATGTTGACATAAATAAGTTGCAAGTTGACATAAATAAGTAGCATGTTAACATACGTAAGTTGCATGTTGACATACATAACTTGCATGCCAACATATTTATTTCGCATGTCAACATAAATAACTTGCATGTCGACATAAATAAGTAGCATCTAGCATATTGGAAGTCACATGTGGGCAATTTTTGAGATATTTTAAAGATTTTTTATAATTCTTATTTGATTGCAATTTTCTTGCATGTCAACATAGTTATGTTGCATGTTGACATAACTATCTTGCATGTCAACATATTTATCTTGCATGTCGACATATTTGACAGAAAAATAACTTGCACACAAGGGGCAGAAATATGCCACCATACTAAAACTTTAGATCCACCCCTTGTTTTATCCCTACACCTGTAATAAGCTACCTGAGTAGAATTCAACTTTCTTTAATCCTATTGGTCAAAACTTTTACCTCCAAATTCTGGACATGAGACAAAGACATTATTCAGATTGCTTTCAGACTGTGAAGACATGATTCTTATACATGTATATAACTTATAACTTTCACTGTGAACTGGCTACCAGATCCTAATATGTAAGTAACTTATTTACTTCTTCTTATTAACAAAATATATCAATCTCTCACCAGAGGGCGTATTACGCTTTGCTAAAAGTGGAGCGTAGAGGGAACGATAACTCTGGATAGAGATTGAAAATATATTTCAAAATCTGATTTATCTGAAATTAATAAACTAATGAAAATATTGAGTGTGCAAGAGTTGAGAGTGAATGATATTATTTTATTACAGTACATACATTGATAAAGTGCCAGTAGTGGTTAGCGTGTTGGTCTCATAGGAAATGATAGTCAGGATTTTTATTGCTTGGGTTCGAAACCAGCGAGAACCACATTATTTTTTAATAACAGAAAAGAAATTTGCCCCCAAAATTTTCCTCACAAAAGTGTTGTTTATCATAATTTTATGAATTTCAATGATATTAACTTTACTCTTAATATTAAATTCACAAATTGAATATGATTTTTACATATCATAAGCTATAGGCATTCTGCACGCCTTGTTCACCCATCTCCTTGTACAAGTATAAATGTCGATTTTTATAAAATGCTGTGAAAAGGGGAATAACTCTTTCTAAGTATGCATAGTAAGAATGTATTGTGATTTTATGAGTATATTGTATGTTTAAAGAATTGTCATCCTGATTATATTAAATTGTACTAATATCAGGATATTATTAGGTCTTTCCACCTTTCTGTGGAAAGACCTATTGAAATGCTTATGTTTATTATTATTATTATTATTATTATTATTATTATTATTATTATTATTATTATTATTATTATTCCGTCACCGCCTTTTGAACCGAAAGACTTTTCGAAGAACTTTATAGTTCATGATACTCGACATCAAAAGTTATTTCGAAAAACTACCCAATGAGTATGACCTATGGCCCCTTTTGGAGTTCTTGCCCTTTGAACGAAAAACCTTGTTATCGCTACTCCTTCGAAACCATAAACCACAGAGGTACGAAACCTTAACCAATGTCTTCGACTAACTGAGTACTCGCTTCAAGGTTTCACTGCAAAAGAATTCGTCGACCCCTTTTATGAGTTATTGCCCCTGGGTGTTTTTCATGTTTACGAATAATGAAAAAAATTTTCTAAACGACAAGTCGTAAAGACATGGGACCAACTGCATAAGATTCTTTGACCTTAGACCTTGAACTTAAGGTCAAGGTCAAAGGTCAAGGTCATTCAAAATATAAGAAAATTAGCTCTTTTTATAGCTCTTTTGTCTTTCAACATATACTATATATCTTTGCATATTTAATATGTCCTTCTAAAAGTATTATAAAAATTTCATTCTTGTCCCCCAAGCTTGACCCATTCAAAAGTTGTCATCCCTTTCGCAATAAAACCTTGTTATCTCTTCTCCTCCGAAACCGTAAACCGTAGACATTCCAAACCTTCATCAGTGTCTTCGACTCATTTAGTACACTCTGCAATCTATACAGTGCGAAAGGGTTCTTCGGCCCCTTCTATGAGTTACTGTCCCTGAAAGTTTTTGCTGCTTACATTTAATGAACTTTTTTTTAAAACGGTGCATCCTCTAGGTACCAACTACATCGGCATATTTGACCTTTGACCTTGAAATATAGGTCAAGGTCAAAGGTCAAGGTCATTTAAAAACATATGAAATTCCTTATATATGTGTAAAATATAGCAATAAACCAAGTGACCTTGATTCAGCTCCAGTATCAGGTAAAAACATAGAAAGAAAAGATTTCTGGGTTTTTTTTTTTTGTTGTTTTTTTTTTATGACCTTGACCTTTGACTTTGACCTTTGACCTTGACCCAAAGGTCACAATAAGGCTTAAGGATATGGAAGTAGTTACAATTCTTAGTGTAAAAGAGGCATAAAATAAATAATTCATCCCCCCCCCCTTCTTAAAAAAAAAATCACGTCAACAACAACGTAGAATATTACTCTAGAATTCAAACCAGACCTCGGATCGACACCAGATTTGGTACAAATGTAGTATAGACCTCAGAGAAACTTTCTGGAGAGTTTTACGGTGAGTCCTATAATTTTATAAAAGTCTTGAAGTTTCACGGCAAAAACTACAAGTTCTGTTGTGTTTGAAATTTAAGTGCAGGTGAACGAAGAAATGATCTAAACCTTTTATCGGCTATTTCTACAGATATCGTTAATAGCATTCGATTCTCCTGATATGATACGACATTTTAATACCAAGCATTCTCTCTTTCTTTTACATTAGGAATTTATTTGATTTTTATTTAGAATTAATCAGTTTCCAGAAATAGCGATTTTTGGTATATTAAAAACAATTCTCGCTTTCATTGTCGTGTTTCCCTTCTAAAAATGCATGTTGGGAGTTTAATTTGTGATACACATATTTAATTTAACCCAAAGAAATGCTTATTTAAATGTTTCATATTTATTTCAGGATATTCAGTCAGAAATGTTAAAATCCGATCCCGATCTTTTAAGCTTACAAGAAAGCTGTTTACAAAAAATTCAACATGCGCACAATATCGATGAATCGGGCTACAGTCCATTAATACATTTTCCTTAGGGAACAGTGTTAACGT